TCAGCAGTAACATTTTCATGATTCTTCTAGATAGAATTTCTTGACTGTTTCTTAGTAATAATAGGTTTTGCCAAATTTCTTTGCACTTTAACTACTCTGAGAACTTTTAAAGCTAGAATATGTATTCATAAGCACACAGGCTCTTTTTTAGAACAAATTTGAAAATAAGAACAGGCTCTTAGAACTCAATTGAAAATAAGAACCCAAAGAAAGCAGGACTTGAAACTAAACTCAGATTTTTAATTTAACAGAAAGTATTACTCATGACAAATATTTCTGAGATAAGAAGCCCCTTAGAAAAAAACTCCAGTTTTGGAAATGTTAAATTTTTATTCATTTTCTTAACCAGGATTACTTTTCCTAGCTGTAATATTATACACAAGTCACCACTCTTGATTTTTTGATTATTACAAACCAAAATCCAGGGCTTGTTCCTCTGTACAGATGAATTATATTGTAAAATAAATTAATCTTCATTACAAAGGACTAGTACCAATACATATCTATGAGATGTATTACCATTTACCTGTAATAACAAACATGTGCCTTGATATTGTTATTGTTATAAAAACTGAGTTTTCAACGAAGGCAGTTTATCAGGCTGTCATAAAAATAAATTTTAAGTAAGTAGTCCTTTACCTTAAAATTGTGGCAGAATACAATGTTAGGCAAGTGATTTTTTCCTGTGATATATGCATAAATATTTTCATGTAAACAGAAGCAGAATTTAAGAAAAATTAAATATATTTGTCAGCAACGGAAATGCACAGAGTAACAGAAAATTATTTTATTTTCTTCATGCTTTCATTGAACATGACTGGCATAAACAGAGCAATAGGAATAGGTTGAATCTTCACATTCCCCTTTTACTCTTCAGAAAGTTACATATAATAAAGTTATCTCACTAGGAGTAGAGAAGGTATCAGAGTAATTACACTCCTGAGAGTCATGACTTTCAAAAAAACCACTCTTTTTTGTTCTGCTGTGAGATTCTGTATTTTAGCAGAATTTTGTCATGTAAAACCAACACTGGCAAGATCCAGCACTAACACACTTGGCAGCAAATGAGGCAAAAAATATGGAGATTTTCCTCTGGATGTGGACTACCCAAGTACCAGGAGATAATGACTTCAAACATAAAACCAACATTTTTGTATGAAATTGGTAATATTTAAAGGGATAGAGGAGCACTTCTTTAAAGTATGTCCTTAAATCAGAATCAGGCAGAATGCTCAATCATATAAAGAACTGCATTCCTGGGTACAACTCCAGAACTACTAGTCCAAGGGATACTGCATTAAGAAATATCCCTGGGAATACTCAGACATTCATACCTGTCAAAGTTTGAATATCACTACTCCAGACTATTTGGGATTTCTTTTGAACTTTCTTTTGCCCACAAATACTGCCCTAATTCTTTCACGCTTCTACTAGCCAAAAAGGAAAAAATTTTTAAAAAATTCTGATTTATGTCAATCAGCAGTGATAGTAGTGGTATTTTTCCCTTAACAGAGGGAAATAGGCAGCATATGATTTTGCACCTAATGTTTTCACATTACAACATAGCACTTAAAAAAAAAGCTTTAAAATGTGTACATGTACAAAAAAAAGTTCAAAGTTATTTGTAAACTGTCATCGAATCAAGATTACCCAGTGTTAAGAGAACTGCTGTTCAGTGTTGCTGAATTCTCTAAGGCCCCTCATAGTCTTCTTTCACAAATACCAAGATCTCAGCAGGCACTCAGGTGCTTTCACCACGTGATGCACTACCAACCAAGCAGCACAAAAGTCCCCCCAGACAGTACATAGAAAAGGACAAAGCAAACAAAGCTCTTTCAGCTCCAACCACATGGCTCAAGGCCTAGCGCCAATATAGAAGAATACATATCAACTGGCTTCCCTTAATAAAGTCTACTTACAAATATCCTTGTTTAGTATCTGCTTGAAATCCAGTTTATACTGAAATTAGAAAGCATGCTACACTTCAACGTACTGCTATATCTACAACAGTGTTTAAGTCCTATAAGGTCCCTGTAGATCAAAACAATTTTACCTGTGAAAAATATAAATTCAAAACCAAAGAGGTAGGTGATTATCATCAGAAGATGATCCCGAAACAAATGTTGAGTCATATGCTTTAGTCTCCAAAGATTTGTTTCACTGGAAAATAATCTTTCTCATGTTCCATGTCATTAGTTAGGTTTTTCTTGATGGCATCAAACTCCCAACGCCTTAATTCCTGATTCCATGTTTTGTGTTCCTCAGACACTGAATTTTTAGAAATAGTAGATGAACAAAAATGTAAGGAAATAATACTGGAGACCAAAGAGTGATGCTGATGTCAGCAGGGCTCTTTAAAAATTTTTACTTTCACATGGAAAGAAGTGTATTAGTTTTGGGATAAGTCCTGGGATTTTTTATTTAATCCAACTCTCCAGTTGTCCAGTGAAGAAACAGGCTCCCACTTTGCTGTTGGCTCACAGAGCACTAGAATTCAAAAGCTGCGAAATTCCAAAAGGCATTCACACTTAACTCACCTATTGACAAAGCTGAGGACACAACCAGGAGGCTAAACTTTCAGTTCCTGAAGCCTTCCTTAGCCTAAATCCCATTCCTGTTGGCTGCTTTATGAAGTGTGTCAGAGTTTCAGAGAGAAATGCAACAAAGGCCCTGGATACGCTGGCTGAGAGGCAGGGATCAACACATAGACCATCAGCAAGACAGAAACAAAACTCTCCAGACCTGCCCTCCTAACACTTGCTCTATGCTTCTCTATAGGAGACACTCTTCACATGCACAAGTACCAGCTGTGCTATGGGCAAGCACTGAAGCAACAATACAGTTCTGCCCAGAACATTCAGAGGCACAGTTGAATAACCAGAAAGCTTTAAACCTGCAAGGCAAAGAACTCTGTACTGCTATTTTGAACTTTTCAATCAAGTGTCTACCAAAAATAAAAATTGTCTGGTTTCTTTTTAGCCTTATTAATCTAAAATTTGGCCTTAGAAAAGATGGTGTGACTCTATTTTGTCTTTGTTTTTCCAGACTTTTTTGAATACCTTCACATTTTTGTAATAAAAATAAGGGTGCTATTTTTTTTCTTTTTTGGGTCACACCCAGCCGTTGCTCAGGGGTTACTCCTGGCTCTGCACTCAGGAATCACTCCTGGTGGTGCTGGGAATCAAAACCGGGTTGGCTGCATGCAAGGCAAACGCCCTATCCGCTATGCTATTGCTCCAGCCCCACTACTTTTTTTTTTTAAAAGGAAGTCTTAGTCTAAAATGTGAAAGGTTACAAAGAGTTCCTGGTTGGCTATGAAGCAACACAACCTGCTTGAGGTGTGTGAGGGTGTGGCTCAGCAGAGCAGCGCTGAGGATCAGTGCCACCACTAACCTTGAGGAGTTTTGTCTGAGATGTGCTTTCCTTATCGGTAAAAAAGGAAGAAATATTACCTAACTCAATAAAACTATGCATTGTACCTAGTACATGAGTCCAACAACTAGTAGTTCAATGGTCTTTGTACCGGTCATGCAAATAGTCAATGCAAATTCTTGAGTGAAGGAATCGCCACAGCCAACACTGGCCATCTACTGACTGACCCCATTTACTTTTCCAAGGGAGTCTGTCTCCTTTTTCTGGCCCTACTGCTCTAAGAAATTCCTATTGTGCTTAGACAAGACTACATTTTTATGTTTTCTACTTTAAAACTGTACATGCAGATAAAACGTTGTTTAAACTATCTTCCTAGGAATTATAATGCAATGTTTCCTAAAGCACAACATGTCAGGTGAAAAACAATCTTGAAAAACATGACTTAATTAGTTTGTACATTGTTCCTTAAAGTGCACCAAAGTAAATCTTAATGACCTTTAAAATGTCACTAACTCCCTTGGGTTATTCTTTTTTAAAAACAAAACTATATTTTTATGTATATGGAATGACTTTTTTTTCTTTTTCTTTTTTCTTTTCTTTTTTTGGCTCCAATGTGATGGCATAAAGCAGCAATATCTTCCAGGAAAAAAAGAAATTTGATGCACTACACTAATAAGCAAATCTTAGCAGCATACAAAACACCTACAATTCTATGTAACTGCAGGCTTAGTATAGCACAATCTTAATTTCTACCACAAAAACAAAATCAATCCAAGAAAAAACATCTTCCCATCCAACAGGATGATTTTTTTTAACCCTGGAGTTAAAGCTCATTTTCCCATTGTGTATCCTTGATAACAGAATTATAGTTGACCAGCATTCTTTGTTTACACTGCCCAAGCACACAGACACTCACATATCCAATGAAAAACAAGGAAGTTTAAGTACAGAAGTCAAGTGAAAGAAAATGCAAAGTCAAAGAACCACCAATCACTTTAGTTTTTGTTCGCATTTCTGGCAACATAAGTAGTGTTCAGGGCTTACTCCTGGCTCTGCACTCAGGGATCACTCCTGCACAACTCAGGAAAGCATTTGGGGTGGTAGGGATTGAACCCACGTCAGCCATGGCCATGTGCAAGGAAATGCCATACCCACTCTACTTATCTCTCCAGCATTTAGCCCAGCAACAGGAGCACTGCATGTGCTGAAACTGGATAAGAACTTAAAACTTAAAAAAGACAGTTGTCTTTCTCTAATGATCTGTACATAAAAAGTCAATAATCATCCTGTTTTAGCTGAACAGGAAACATAGCTTTGTATTATATATTCTGAAAATAATGATTGGGTTGGAGCGATAGCACAGTGGTAGGGCGTTTCCCTTGCACGCTGCCGACCCGACTGACCCAGGTTCAATTCCTCTGCCCCTCTCAGTGAGCCCAGCAAGCTACCGAGAGTATCTTGCCCGCATGGCAAGGCCTGGCAAACTACCCATGACGTATTCGATATGCCAAACAAAGTAACAACAAGTCTCAAAATGGAGACGTTACTGAGCCTGCTCTAGCAAATCGATGAACAACGGGAGGACAGTGAAAATAATGATTAAAAAATGTAAACTTGGAAAAAAACAAAGAACAACCACAACCATCATCCAAAATGACAGGCAGTTCTAAGAGTCACACCACTGTCCGATGTTCCGAACATACATAGACAGCACTGGGGCGAATCCGGCGCCGAGTATGACCAGGGAGCTTCGGCAAAAACTTGAAGGACTTCGGCATCATGTCCAGGCAGGCATCATGAAATTTCTTAATCCTCCAGTAGTAAATCAGTGGGTTCAACGCGGACTTGAGGTAGCAGAGCCAGAGCAGCCAGGTGCTAATCTCAAAAAAGTTGTGCTGATAATAAACCTGCTTACTGAATGTTGCCACAAGGCTGTAAGTAGTAAACGGGGCCCAGCATACTATGAAGACGGCAAAGAGAATCAGGATGGTGGTGAAGGCACGCGTTTTAAAGCCCATGTCAATGCTCATCTGGAAGGGTCTTTGGAGACTCATCAGACCCAGTTTACTAGCCTGGCTGAGGCATATACCCTCAGGGTAGCTATGGATCCTCAGAGCATTGTGCCGAAGAGTGTTGAGTATCCCCATAAATGAGTACAGTATCACCAAGAAGGGTATGAAGAAAGAAATGAGAGAAATCAAAATCACATAAGCTTGGTATCCCGGATTAGTTGTATACCCAAATACACATTGTGGGGCTCGGGAAGGTATCTGCAAGTCAGGGTTTCCTACAGCCAAAGGAAAAGCTATACAAAAAGAAGTCGCCCAAGAAACTGCAATCAGAACCTTAGCCCTATATGGATTTAGCTTATCCTGTTTCTGCACTATAATAAGGAATCTATCAATACTAATTATGAGCAGTATGGCTACTCCTTCTATCACAAACATCCAAAAAAACATAGCAGACACCCTACAAAAGAATTTCCCAAAAATCCATCTGGTAGTAAGGATAGTTACCAAGGCAAAGGGCATGTTCAGCACTGCAAGTAACATGTCTGCAAATGCCAGGCTGGCAAGGAGAATGTTAATTGCAGATCGCATGGCAGCTTTTTGGTAAACCATGAGGCAAACAACCAAGTTCCCCAGAAAAGACACAAAGAGAATAAATATCATCATAGCAGATAGGATGATCTGGAGAGGCAAGTTGAGGCTCTCAAAAGTGGCTGGTGTTGGGGACCCAGCCGTGCTATTCACCATCAAGGAATTCATCCCAGTGGGAGTCATGGTTTCAAAACTGTATCTGAGCAGCTGGTCAACACTGGGATGCTGGAATGGTGGAGGGACCGTCATATTCCTGTATGTGTTTTCATATACTATGAACGTTGTATTGGATGCCCCAGCATGGGATGCAGTCAACATTGTTGATAAGACCATTGTTTCTGTCTCATGGAAGTGGCCATCAGAGATGTGGATGTCTCTCAAGCATTTTAACCCAGAGCAGCGTAATCATGTTTCACTGAGGGTCCTTGAAACATATTCTGGAAAGCAGACAAGGAGTCCCATCTTCCACAGGAGGCCTGTTGCCTGAAAACGAGTCCAAACACAAGTAAAGGAAAAAATTAGTTGTTTTTTTTCTCTTTTTGGTAAATAACATTGGATTCCTTACCTTCCATCCTGAAGGATTTCAGACTTTATTAACTTAAGTCTCTAGCCACTTGAGCATCAAAATATTATCATTGTGCTGTTTATTTCTAATCAATCATGACAGAAATTCCAGGGCATTCACACACACAGTGAAAGTGAAGAGAATCAAAGTATATTGCCTCTCAAAAAGAAAGGTTATAACTTGTTTAATTTCCCATAGCAGCATGGTCACTATTAACACAGATTTTACCCTCTGATTCTCCTGTGACTAATTCTTACCTCTTTCCTCTTTTATTAGAAAGGACATTCTTTGGATTTCTTGGTAGAATTCTTTAACAAATTCCAAAGACTGGGAAAATAAATGCATACAAGCTTAAAACAGCACTGAAAATACACTCATTATTTAGAGGTAGTCACTGATATTTGAGGCAAATGCAAAAAGCTTATTTACTGTGGTATGAAGTGTGGGAGCATCAAATCTGGAGAGTCAAGATCCAGAACTAGCTAAACCACAGGTACCTGCTATATTTGTTACTTCTCAATGTTTTGCTGTTAAAGATTCCCTTTAATGAGGAGAGAAAAAATCTGTTGTTATTCTACTGTCACTTTTAGAGCTTAAATTTTTGTCACTATTTGATTTTATTCATCTTCACATATATACCTTAAAATACATAGCACCAACATAAACTGACAAAGTCAATTTTAAAATATACTAAACCACAAAGGTCAACTGGGCAAGAGGCAATGGTAGTTAGAAAGCTTTACACTATTAACACATATTTTACTTTCTCATTATCTTACGACATAAAATTTTCCTATTATTTTATTTTAAATAGAGACCGGTCCCTTCAATATTCTGCTCAGTAGTATTAAGGGACCATGCAGTGTTAAAGAAGAAAGATCTGGACCTTGCACCCTCTGGAATACTTTTAACAACCATAAGTCTTCAGATTTACACACACACATATACACATACACATGTGAGCACAAAGGCACACATAAGAGTACAGTCTATCTTTAAGTAATACACACTTAGTTTCATGTGCTGATTTTCAACGCTGTACACTGGGATGCACTTAATAGTGCACAGTTATTTTCCATTAACAGTAGGAATAAGATAAAATAAATTTTTCTTGGCCATATTGAAGAACATAAATAAAAGGTAGAATTTAGTCCCCAAAAGGGGTATTAATGAAAAAGATGTTAGAAGTGCATGTTATCATAGTGCCTTTAAGATACAAAAAAAACCTAGCAATGTCTATAAAATCTTATAAATCAATTCATCTAAATATTCATTCAAGTATTTATGTGCCAGCGATGGATGAAGGGTCCTGAATTCCACACAGTGAGTAAGGGATTAAAAAAAAATGTTTTACAGCAAAAAGCAGATGGTGGGATGGTTACTGCCTAAATTTAATAGAACAGAAAACTTGTTTATCTTCAATTCTTCCAGAAACAGACTTAGAAGAAATTGTATATCCCCAGAAAGACTCTGAACTCAAAGATAAGTTAACACAAGAAGTGCAGGAAAATCGACTGAGAATCATCATGTATATTGGAGCTTCCTGGAACTGCACCTCCATGCCGGGTCTCTCTTGAGTGAGCCCATGAAACCAAACATCTTCATTCTTATCAGTGTAGAGCTAAATACCAGGGAGATTTGGTGCATGTCTGTACATTCAACATGAGAACCTTATTCCTTTCACCACTTGTTTCCAAACTGCCAGCAGCCAGGCAAATGCTACCCATGTTGAACAAAAGAGCAACTCAATATGTCAATATGTTCAGTACCTAAAAATCCTATAGGAAAGATCTCCAGATGCGAACATCTGGGAGTATCACCAGAAAAATGTTAGGTTGGTGATCTATCACCCTGTACATTCTGAAGCCTGAAACAATGAGCACAGATTGAAAAATTCCTTTGTCCTGATACAAATAGTGCTTTCTATTCCTTTCTTGTACTCTTGGCTTCCCAGAATATAAGTATCTCAGGGAAATAGGCAAAGCAATGTTTTAGAATTATAGTAGCAAATATATTTAGAAGTTTTTTCTTCCCAAGAATTACCATCAAATATAATTGCATACTGGAATTTCTTTGAATTTCATTTAACAAGAACCTGCCGTCAGTACTCATCAATACACTGGCTCGGCTCTTCACTCGCTACCTGTCTGAATGCAAGGTTCCGTCCCAATGGAAAACCAGCAGGACCGTACTACTGTTCAAGAAGGGAGACATCCAAGACATTGGCAACTATCGCCCGATCTGCCTATTGTCTGTCATCTACAAGTTGTTCACTCGAGTCATCCTAAATAGGATTGGCAGAACACTAGATGAAGGACAACCATGCGAGCAAGCCGGGTTCCGCAAAGGATTCAGCACCATCAACCATATCCACACGATAACCAAGCTCCTTGAGGTTTCTCGGGAGTTCAAGATGCCGCTCTGTTTAACGTTCATTGATTTAAAGAAGGCCTTTGATTCTGTTGAGATGGAAGCGGTCATTGAAGCCCTAGCCAATCAGGGCATTCAAGCCCAATACATCAGGATCCTCCGTGAGCTGTATTGCGGATTCACTACCAGGATCTCACCATTCTGCAAAGAAGTGATCGTTGATGTCAAGAGAGGGGTGCGGCAGGGTGATACCATTTCACCGAAACTCTTCAGTACCACCCTCGAGAACATCATGCGACAACTGGAATGGGAAGGAATGGGAGTGAAGATAGATAGTCGGCTACTACACCACCTCTGCTTTGCTGATGACATTGTTTTAATAACACCAAACATCAGCCAGGCGGCACAAATGCTGGCCGACTTTGACCGTGAGTGTGGAAAGGTAGGACTACAGCTGAATCTTACGAAGACAATGTTTATGAGAAACAGCTTCTTTCCTGATGCCCCATTTGCTCTCAATGGAACGACCATCTCCGAATGCAACAGCTATGTGTACCTAGGTCGAGAGGTCAACATGACAAATGACCTGGCACCTGAGCTACGCAGGAGGAAGAGAGCGGCTTGGAATGCCTTCCAGAACGTGGAAGAAATAGCTAAGAGGACGAAGAACCTCCGGCTCCGGGCACATCTCTTTGATTCCACTGTTCTTCCTGCATTAACATATGCCTCAGAGACCTGGGCCCTACGCAAACAGGATGAGAACGCTATTCAGGTCTCCCAAAGAAGAATAGAAAGAGCTATGCTTGGAATATCACGTTTCACTCAAATGAGAGAAAAAATCCGGAGTTCCAACATCTGTTTAAGATCAAAAATCAGGAACGCTGCCTCATTTGCCAAGGTGTCGAAAATCAGATGGGCTGGTCACGTAATGAGATTTAAAGACGACCGCTGGACTAGAGCTGTTACCGACTGGATTCCACGGGATGTCAAAAGACCGCGTGGCCACCCACCTACCAGATGGTCAGACTTCTTCGTCAAGATCATGAACGATCGGTTTGAGGCTCTTCATGTTCCCGGAGCGAACAGATGCCATTGGGCTACACTAGCACGCGACAGGGACAAATGGAGACGTTACTGGCGCCCGCTCGAGCAAATCGACGACTAACGGGAAGTTAAGTGATTAAGTGATTAAGTGATTCATTTAACATTTAAAAAAAAGTTTTATATTTTAATTTTTATCTACCAAGGAAATGAAACAGTAATATTATGGAAACATTAAAAAATTAGCTTAGGTTGGTAATCATTTGCATAATATGCATATATACTAACAGCAGTACAGAAACAACGTTGTGGTAAACAGATTATGTTTATGTTTTGAGCATGCCAAAAGTCACAATTACTGGGGCTTTTGTGGCTGGAATGGGCAACGGAGTTTGATGATTCCTCTCAGTCTCCATACCTTACTTACTATTGCAATGCTTTCAATCAGGGGTAGGGAATGTCCAGCTCAAGAACATATGAAGCCCTTAAAAATTATCTAATATGAGAAAACGATAATCAGACTATAAAGATGCCCCATAGATTGGGAGAGAATATTTACCCACCATTCATCTGATAAAGAGTTGGCATGGATGTGGGGGAAATTAAAGGTCCTTCCCTTACTGTTGATGATAATCTCAACTGGTCTAGAAAACAATATGAACACTACTCAGAAAACTAGAAACTGGGTTTTCACTCCTTGGAATATAACCCAATGGCCAAGAAAAGGAAATCCAGAAAAGTTATTTGTGCTATGTCCGTAACAATGGCCCAAGCCTTGAAACAACCCAAGCACCCAAGAACATATGACGGGATAAAGAAGGTATAGTACATATACACAACATAATACTATTCAGCCATAAGAAAATCAGTCAATTTGCTACTCCATGGATGGATTTGGAGAGTTATCATGCTGGATAAAATTAGTGAGAAAGAGAGAGACAGACACAGTATGATCTCTCTCATATGCAGGATATAAAAGAAACATAGTAGGAAAATAACAAATGTCCAAAAGCAATAGAAACAACAGAAGAACTGCTCTTCAGTAGGAAGCTTGTCACTTGGGACAGGTCAGGGTAGGAATACTAAAGAGGTATGCATGACACCCTATCAGTAACAGTACTATAGACCACAGAGCCTAAAAAAGAACTCAAATAAAAACAAAAGGTACCTACCATACAGGCAGGCCTGAGGCTGGAAGGGAAACAGGATATTGGTGTAGGGAAATGGAAACTGGTGTTGGTATTACTGAAATTCAATCATGAGTAACTTTTTAAGTCACTGTGTCTCAATTTAATTATTATTATTTTTTAAATCATGTGGTCTGGCCATGGTTCTTGATGGGACAGACACATATATTTCTCATTAGTGCCCAGATCCTGCGGGCATTTTATGGCCCACAAATTATGTGATAAATATCCAAATGGTTCTTGGAAGAAAAACTTTAGCCCACCCCTGCTTTTAGATACTTATTTTTGTCCCATGAAAAAAAATTCCCTCCTGGGAAGCA